GAATAAATTAAAGATTTCTACACTCCCGGACACTATAATTGCACAAAAAATTGTTTATAGATGCAAAAAAGTGCATTTAGCATGACATGTCTCCTTTAAGAATTGTGAGAAATTTTTGTTTAAAAATTCCAGCCTCTACAAATGTTGCCACAGTTTTCAAAGATTTATAGAAACTATTTGTGAGCAGATTAGATCTATTTATCTATAAACAGAAGTAACTGTCAATATGGTTTTAAAGCAAATAATTCTACATCAATGGCGCCCATGGAAATAATGCTGTTGATCCAAAACAATATTGTTAGTATTTATCTTGATTTAAAGAAAGTATTTGATACTATTGACCACAGTAATAAATAAATATGGTATTAGAGGATCAGCAGCACTACAGTGGGTATTTAGCTGTTTGAAAAATAGGAAACAGTTTGTTCAAACTATGTAAGATCTGAATTCTGTAACATCACGTGAAGTTCCTCAAGGTTCAGTACTTGGACTGAAGTTATTTATTTTATATGTGAATGACTTGGTAAATGTGTCAGTGTTTTTTAAATGTGTTTTATTTGCAGATGATACTACATTTTTTGGTTTGGTTAAAGAACAGACCAAATGTTTGGACACACCTTCTCTTTCAAAGAGTTTTCTTTATTTTCATGACAATGAAAATTGTGATTCACACTGAAGGCATCAAAACTATGAATTAACACATGTGGAATTATATACTTAACAAAAATGTGTGAAACAACTGAAAATGTGTCTTATATTGTAGGTTCTTCAAAGTAACCACCTTTTGCTTTGATTACTGCTTCACACACTCTTAGTATTCTRTTGATGAGCTTCAAGAGGTAGTCACCTGAAATGGTCTTCACCTCACAGGCGTGCCCTATCTGGTTTAATATGTGAGATTTATTGCCTTATAAATGGGGTTGGGACCATCAGTTGTGTTGTGCAGAAGGTGGATACAGTACACAACTGATAGTCCTACTGAATAGACTGTTAGAATTTATATTATGACAAGAAAAAAGCAGCTAAGTAAAGAGAAAAAAGTGGCCATCATTACTTTAAGAAATTAAGGTCAGTGAGTCTGAAAATTTGGGAAAACTTTGAAAGTGTCCCCAAGTGTAGTCAAAAAAACCATCGAGCGCTACAAAGAAACTGGCTTACATGAGGACCACCCCAGGYAAGGAAGACCAAGAGTCACCTCAGCTGCTAATGATAAGTTCATCCGAGTCACCAGCCTCAGAAACGGCAGGTTAACAGCAGTTCAGATTAGAGAACAGGTCAATGCCACACAGAGTTCTAGCAGCAGACACCTCTAGAACAACTGTTAAGAGGAAACTGTGTGAATCAGGCCTTCATGGTAAAATAGCTGCTAGGAAATCACTGCCAACGACAGGCAACAYGCAGAAGAGACTTGTTTGGGCTAAAGAACACAAGGAATGACATTATACCAGTGGAAATCTGTGCTTTCATCTGATGTATCCAAATTTGAGATCTTTGGTCCTTGTGCGATGCAGAAAAGGTGAACGGATGGACTCTACATGCCTGGTTCCCACCATGAAGCATGATGCAGGAGGTGTAATAGTGTGGGGGTGCTTTGCTGGTGACACTGTTGGGGATTTATTCAAAACTGAAGGCATACTGAACCAGCATGGCTACCACAGCATCTTGCAGCAGCATGCTATTCCATCCGGTTTACGTTTAGTTGGATCATCATTTATTTTTCAACAGGACAATGACCCCAAACACACCTCCAGGC